CCTGGGTGGCTCAGTTGGTTAAGCGACTGCCTTCGGCTCAGGTCATGATCCTGGAGTCCTGGGATCGAGTCCCACATCGGGCTCCCTGCTCGGCAGGGAGCCTGCTTCTCCCTCTGACCCTCCCCCTCTCATGTGCTCTCTGTCTCTCTCATTCTCTCTGTCTCAAATAAATAAATAAAATCTTTAAAAAAAGAAAAAAGATATTAATTTACATACAACATTCAGAATAAAGACTTACCCATAGTAACAGAATAACAAATGTTAAATATTACCATTAACTATTACTTCTCTTAAAAGTTTTAAAAGCTAAGCCATGAAAGTAGGTTTTCAGAGTAAACAGCAACAATGACCTCAGAACGATCTTCCCAAATAAGAATACCTGGTTCCGTTTACTCTCTTAAGAATTTTGCCATTATGCAACATTCATTACTGATCATTTTTTTTACTCAGTTTTAGATAGCCTAGTTTTCAATATTATACCTATTTAATTTAAGCATATTACCTGATTTATTGACAAGTTGGTTAGTTCCTACAGTTATTACTTTGGGTATTGGTTGAGCTGTCAAAGATAGTGACATTTTCTGATTGTGATCATGCTTCTAGTGGAATGGTGACTAGCTATGATAGTCCACAATTCTAACTGGGTACTATAATATCCATTGCATCCCTGAACTAATTATAGTTTCAGAAACACTTACAGGTTTAGACACGTTCTGAACAATAACAGAATTCTGTGAAGATTTAGATTCAGGATGAAATCTAGGCAAGGCAGCCACTGGATTTGATGTTGGATCTTTGCAGTGTTGACTTGTAGGCTTGAATGGATCAGTAACACCTGCATTTTAAAATTACACAACATATTGAATATTTTTCTATACAACCAATTTTGTTAAAATACTTCACTTTAAAATTAAAATGGTATAATACTATACCTTGAGTAAGTGTCTCATTCTTTATTCCCTTTGAAGATGAGCTGGGGTTACCTCTGTTCAAAATATCTACAAATATTATGTTTAAAACTCATTATTTGAATTGAACATATATTTAGACAATAAAAAACTTTCCAAAAATATATCCACATACAACTAATAATTTAAGTATATTTCTTTCTCTTAGTGGTGACCTCAGATCAAACCCTTCCCCAATTCCCATGCCACATTCATACCCCCTAAAAGCCTGGAAGTTTCATTATGGGTAAGCTGGTCACATTATCTGTACTACTCCTCTTGAGTTCTGAGAGGGACACTACTGAAGACTGCAGACTAAATTTAATCTAGAGTTTACCAGAGTATCTCAAATCTACTACTATACCAAAAGTCAATTGGAGCCTGACATGACCCTATGAATCAGTTTAAGATGCTCACTCCTGTACCCGTGTGAACCCATAACTTCTAGGTTATTAAGGAATCAAATGAAAATTTGGAAGAGTAGAGATATGCCTAAAATTGCTAATCAGGAAAAGGTATATTTTAAAAATCCCATAAAACCTCAAAAAAAATTTCCTTTTCCCCTCCTAGTAGAAAAGAACCAGATCTCATAGATTAATTCCATAAAGGGTCACACAAAAGTAGGGTTGTTTTATGATAATGGAAATTCAGTTCTCTAAACCTAGGCACTAAAGAAGTTTCCTAGGAGAAAAATCTGCTCAAACAACTTGATATTGTTTTCATTCAGAAATTTAAAATAAGTATTTACTCAAACCATTAAAGAGTTAAACCTATAGTACTTTGTTTTCATTCAGAAATTTAAAATAAGTATTTACTCAAGCCATTAAAGAGTTAAACCTATAGCACTCTGTGGTGACTGGTCTATCAAACACAACCTTTTACCATCCCCCCAACTTAATGATGGTTCTATATAAATATTTAGCTCATATTCCATATGCCAAAAATATTTTATGGCTCACACATAAAACATCAATAAAATCACCTAAATTTTGAGTTCATTTAGAAAAGAAATTTCACTGGGGTCAACTTTCTTTTTGATAGAATCACTTAAAACTAACACACATTATTCAAGTTGAGTACTGTTAACAGTTATCTACAGTTGATATAAACCCAACCTGAACTGCCAGGCTTTCAATAAGATGATCTGAATAATAATTTGAAATATGATAATATTTTGGGATAAAAATCACAGCAACTAGGAAACAATATTTATATTATTCTGTTCCACTATCAGCAACAAACATGCCAACATACTTCATTTTATAATTGAAGTGACATTCCACTTAGCACCTCTCAATTTGCCACAGGAAATGATACTGAGAATTAAATTATTCTATCTCTGATAAAACTGAATAGAAGAGCTATTTGAAGTTTAGAGTCAAGAGAAGCAAAAACCGGGCTTTCAAAAAATTAAAAACTCCTCTCTTAACCACAATATTTCGCACTGCCATGATAGGTAAGAAAACACTGGTATGGCTGCCTACATTCTTTGCTAAATTCTCCTGGCTTAAAAAAAAGTAAGTATAATGGAAAAGAATCTATTTTCTCGTTCTCCCCTGAAATTCAGTATGTTGTTCGTCTGCACTTTACACATTTTTTATTGGACATTTTAACAAGTGTCATCAATATCTTCACTATAACATTATCACAATGGCAATTCTAACTCTAACTGAAATCTAACAATCTACAAAATTACTGAACGTGTTCTGCCAGAAAGCCATGAGGATTAAGTGTGCTAACCGCCTGCATTGTACTAGTACAGTAGCTAAAGACCAGACCCTCCCTCCTTCCTTCATGAATATAATCAGGAGTTGTTGGAAGATGCGTGTGGCCAGAAACTATAGCTCAGGTTGGTACACATACCAGAGACTGTATAATCATGCAGTGCCTGTTCATTTTGTAGCCATGATTCAAGATGACACTGTGATGAGGCAGTTGTCTGGCTGTGAGAACCCTCATCAGAGACTAACAAACTTACTCAGTATTCTGGTATTTTAAGCAAAGCACTCCAAACACTTCCTATTCTAGGTGTTTTTGGACTTAAGGGAGAAAAAGAAAAATTAACAAACAGGTGAATAGGCTACTTAGCTCCACTAAAACTTAAGATTGCCAATTTCAGAAGGCCTATAATGCTGTTAGGTAATCTTAACCTTTAGTTACCTTAGTTAACATTTCCCTTTTCTCTCAAATGATATTTTAACCTCTGACCTTACTCAAGTCCCCAACCATATCCCCCCTCTGATTCTCACAAATTCTCACTGATCTGTATGCTTCAACTCCTTACAGAATAACAAGGACACAGAAGACAGCTCACAGATTTTTCTATTAGAAACAGCAACTTATAAAACTTTACTTCACTGAAATAAATGCTTACTTGAAATGGCTGGTTTTGAACTTGATATCTCTCCAACAAAAATCAGCTCATCATCATCTTCATCCAGAATTTCTTCTACTTTCTTCTGCCACGGTTCCAGCTCTTCTTCTTCACATTCCATAAAGAGTTCTGCCATTTTTGGGTTATCTAATTTTCAAGAGAGAAACGCATCTTATTTTTTAAAAAACTTTTTGCAATGCATAGTATGATATTTAAGATATACTTTAATAATCTTAATTACTGAATTGATATTTGCAGTCAGTACAACTCACCTCAATCTCTAAGATCTAAACTAGTAAACTAGTAAAATTAAGCTAGCTAAGTAACAGACGAAAGTAATTACTAGTAGTTGCCAATAAATTTTAAGAATAATCAAATCCAAAAAAACTTGAAACATAAAAAAAAGAATAATCAAACCCAGGAAAGAATATCCAATGGGAAAAAGATAGTCTCCTCAACAAATGGTGTTGGGAAAACTGGACAGCAACATGCAAAAGAATGAAACTGGACCATTTTTTTTTTTTTGAAGATTTTATTTATTTATTTGACAGAGAGAGAAAACACAAACAGAGGGAGCAAGAGAAGGAGAAGCAGGCTCCCTGATGAGCAGGGAGCCGGTTCAGGGCTCGATCCCAGGATTCTGGGATCATGACCTGAGCCGAAGGCAGACGCTTAACCCACTGAGCCACCCAGGTGCCCCAGAATCTGGACCACTTTCTTACACCAAACACAAAAATAAATTGAAAATGGATGAAAGATGTGAGACAGGAAACCATTAAAATTCTAGAGGAGAACACAGGCAGTAATCTTTTTGACATCAGCTGTAGCAACTTCTTACTAGATATGTCTCCTGAGGCAAGGGAAACAAAAGCAAAAATAAAGTACTGGGACTTCATCAAATTAAAAGCTTCTACACAGTGAAGGAAACGATCAACAAAACTAAAAGGCAACCTATGGAATGGGAGAAGATATTTGCAAATGACATACCTAATAAAGGGTTAGTACCCAAAATATATAAAAAACCGATACAACTCAAGACCCAAAAAACAATCCAGTTAAAAAATGGACAAAAGACATGAATAGAGGGGCGCCTGGGTGGCTCAGTCAGTTAAGGTTGTCTGCTTTCGGCTCAGGTCATGATCCCAGGGTCCTGGGATCGAGCTCCGCATCGAGCTCTCTGCTCAACGGGGAGCCTGCTTCTCCCTCTCCCTCTGCCTGCCGCTCTGCCTACTTGTGCTCTAACAAACAAATCAATAAAATCTTTAAAAAAAAGATGGGGCGCCTGGGTGGCTCAGTCGGTTAAGGTTGTCTGCTTTCGGCTCAGGTCATGATCCCAGGGTCCTGTGATCGAGCCCCACGTCGGGCTCCCTGCTCAGCGGGGAGTCTGCTTCTCCCTCTCCCTCTGCCTGCCTCTCTGCCTACTTGTACTATCTCTATGTCAAATAAATAAATAAAATCTTTAAAAAAAAAAGATATGAAGAGATATTTTTCCAAAGAAGACATATAGATGGCCAACAGACACGTAAAAACATGCTCAACATCACTGATCATCAAAGAAATACAAATGAAAACTACAATGATGAAAACTACAATGAGATACCATCTCACACCTGTCAGAGGGCTAAAATCAAGAACACAAGAAACAACAGGTGTTGGTGAGGATGTGGAGAAAGGGTAACCTTCCTGCACTGTTTGTGGGAATGTAAACTGGTGCAGCCACTCTGGAAAACTGTATGGAGGTTCCTCAAAGGTTAAAAATAGAACTACCCATGATCCAGCAATTGCACTACTAGGTATTTACCCAAAGGATACAAAAATACTAATTCAAAGGGATACATGCACCCCTATGTTTATAGCAGCATTATCTACAACAGCCAAATTATGGAAACAGCCCAAATGTCCATCAACTGATGAATGGATAAAGAAAAGGTGGTATGTGTATACAATGGAATATTACTCAGCCATAAAAAGAATGAAATCTTGCCATTTGCAACAGTGTGGATGGAGCTAGAGAGTATTATGCTAAGTGAAATAAGTCAGAGAAAGACAAACACCATATGATTTCACTTATATGTGGAATTTAAGAAACAAAACAAATGAGCATAGGGGGGAAAAAAGAGAGAGAGGCAAACAAAGAAACAGACTCCTAACTCTAGAGAACAAACCGATGATTACCAGAGCGGGGTGGGGGGTGGCTGGGGGGGGGTTTGGGAATGATGGTTGAAATAGGTGATGGGGATTAAGGAGTGCACTTGTGATGAGCACCAGGTGTTTTATGGAAGTGCTGAATCCCTATATTGTATACCTGAAACTAATATTACATTGTATGTTAATTAACTGGAATTTAAATAAAAACTTAAAAAAATAATCAAATCCAATCAAAAGCAGTTTCAGTTTTATGAACAGAATATATCTATTAAAGGATTGTACCTAACTATATCTGAAAAAAAAAAAACCATAAACTTTTATGTTAACAAAAAGGAGGTAAGCTAAGAATAAGAGGCAACAGGTTGGAGATACACTAGAAAAACTGAACTAGGTTCATAAACACCAGGCACAGAGCAAAGCAGGGATGAAGTGCAAGAATGAAAATAGGGGACTTAAGTGAGGCTTATTCCATCCCAGGAAAGATTAGACATTTCTCACCTGAAGAAACTAAGCAAAGAACATACTGTGAATACCACCAGCCTACTAGTACTGACCAAGCATTCAGAGTTCTGAGGAAGCATTTTAGTGCCTCCTAAATATGGATAGACAACCAGTGAATACCAGAAATATGACTAAACCTCCAATGTGAAAGACCAAAACAATAAAACAGATTAAAAGCTCTTAAAGAAAACAGAGATGGTACAGAATGCAAAAGTTATTAATGTAATTAGCATTTTTAGAGAAATAAATGTTATAAAATGTTATAAAAAGTATGTTATAAAAAGTAACATTCAGAAAATAAAAGTTTAAAAATAAGACAGTCAAAATTCAGTAAAAGAAAAACCCAAAAACACAAATGCCGAAGTTGAATAACAGTCCCATAAGTGGAACTAAAAGACAAAAAATAGATATACACTAAATAGATGGGATTATTAGAAATCAATTTCAAAGGTACAATTCACCTAATAAAAGTTCCAGAAAAAGAGAAAAAAGAAAGGGGATGTAATCAAAGGAAAAATACAAAAGAAATTTCTAGTTCTAAAGGACACAAATGTCCAGATTGAAAAGGCCTACCAGGACCCAGCACAAAAATCAAGGACAAAAGTCTACAGTAGAGAATCTCTCATGAGACTTGAGAATGCTGGAGAGGGAAACTATCCTAAAATCAGCATGAGAGAGAGAGAGTTAGAATAATGCTTTCAAAAGTATTAGTGAAAATAATTTTTCAATTTAGAATTCTATACCGACCAGCCAAGGTTTTCATCAAGCATGAAGTACATATTCTTTCATCAAAAATAAAGATCACCAACATCACACAAAATTTACCCCCCATTCACCCTTTCTTTCTTAGGAAGAATCCACCAAAATATGGGACTTAAGAAGGAGAAAGATACAGAATGCAGAAAACATGACATTCAATACAATACAAAGACAAAGGAAAAGTCCCAGGATAATAGCTGTTCAATAGGTCTAAATAACAACCAGCCAGAATAGGGCAAGAGAACATGACTCCCAGGAGGAATGTCTCCAGGAGACCACAGACAGACACACACACACACAAAGATTCAAAAATTAAAATGTTAGATTACCTGGCAAGTTTACCATGTAGAAAATTGAGTTAAGAGGCTACGGAAGGGGTTAAGAAGACTTGGCTATAGACTTTAATAAAATTTAGCAAATTCAGTCAACTATACTTCAATAAAAAATAAAATTTAGCAAATTTTAAAAAATTAAAAATTTGAATATCTGGGTATACACAAAAAAGAGAAAAAGGGAATATATCCATAACATATTAATACCATAGCACTATACTCATCAGTGAACAATATTTATTATGGCCATTAGAATAAAAACATTTAATATGATTTAACCAAAAACAGATATAAATGCAGTGGGAGATGCTTAGAGGGAGGGGTAAGTGTAAGAAAACTAAAATCATCATGTTCCGTTGATAGAAAAATTATTAGATAATGGCAAGAAAATGATGATTTAAGAGACAGGAGTATGTGTATGTGTTTTAAAAATTTAGAAATATGGAGGGGCGCCTGGGTGACTCAGTCAGTTGAACATCTGCCTTCGGCTCAGGTCATGATCCCAGGGTCCTGGGATCAAGCCCCACATTGGGCCTCCCTGCTCAGCGGGGAGTCTGCTTCTCCCTCTGCCTCTCCCCCCTCCCCCCCGGCTTGTGCTCTCTCTCTCTCACTCTCTCTCAAATAAAATCTTAAAAAAAAATTTTTTTTAATTTAGAAATATGGAAATTATTAGGAAAAAAAGCTAAAATATTGAAAGTGAATGGCTTGCAAAACAAGGAGTAACAAGCCCAGAACACATGCACACCACTCTCAAACTCTTACCTTCAAGAAACTGTGGTTATGCAACTTTATAACTTTCAGATTATTTTTTTACAACTATGCATGCATTTGTTCTGCTTTTAAAAAAGTATTGAGGGGGGTGCTTGAGTGGCTCAGTTGGTTAGGCAACCGCCTTCAGCTCAGGTCATGATCCCAGGGTCCTGGGATTGAACCCCATGTTAGGCTCTCTGCTCAGTGGAGTCTGCTCCTCCCTCTCCCTTTGCCCCTCTCCCACTTGTGCTCGCACGCTCTCTCTCTCTCAAATAAATAAAATCTTAAAAAAAGTATTAAGGGAGCCCCTAAATTAATATAATAGCAATGGGGATGGATACAAGTGGTACTAGATATATGGAGTGAGATGTAGGTGGAGGAACAACTAAAAAGAAACAAAACAAAATAATAATTCCAGGATTCTGGCTTAGACAATAATAATAATCATCTGTTTTTCTTAGACAATGATATCTTTACTTTTTAAATGCAATCATTTCTAAAGGTAATTTTACTAGATTAAATGTCATTTCTAATTTTGACTCAAAATTCGTGTGTGAAAACAATGATTTGGGGATGGCTTACAAAAGAAACACCCTAACAAACAGGCACCATTTGGGTGCCTGGGTAGCTCAGTTGGTTCAAGCGACTGCCTTCGGCTCAGCTCATGATCCTGGAGTCCCAGGATGGAGTCCCACATCGGGCTCCCTGCTCAGTGGGGAGTCTGCTTCTCCTTTTCACCCTCCCCCCTCTCATGTTCTCTCTCATTCTCTCTCAAATAAATAAAATCTTAAAAAAAACCCAAATAGGCACTATTCTTTTAAAATTATTTAAAGTTAATTTCCTCATCTATATAGGTATGCCAAAATCATTTCTTGGCATAATGTTGTTTAATGTTTAGTGGTCTACTTACCATAAAACAAAACAAAACAAAAACCTTCTCACCCTTCCAAATGTAACCAGTTTTATGAACTTTCTAACTTTACTTCGAAAACACATATACAGAATGGTCTAAGTCAAATAATTAAAAGAGTAACTCACAGTTTAGCATCTGCATATTCTGAATACTTGAAAACACCATCCTCATTGTGTCCCCTGGAGTCCTCCTTTGTAGGGTTTATTCTATCTAAAATATTCTTCCTTCTTACCTTATATTGTCCATGTTATTCATGTATAGTAGAAGGAGCATGGACTTGACATCAAATTGAATAGCTGAAATCTCCATTGCAGCATTTCTAATCATGTGACTCTGGAGAAATTACTTGGATCTTGTTTTCTTACTTCTAATATGGGTACAATATCTACCTAATAGAAGTGACAATGTAGACTGAGAAAAATGTCATATGAAGTACCTAACCTAACCTCAAGCAAATACTCAACAAAATCTTAATTCCCAACTCTTGGTTCAGTTACAACTTCCTCAATAAACCAGTAGACCTTGTTTTTCTTCCACCTTTTACTACACTGGCATTCTATACCATATAGTTCAAGATTTACTATATATAATTTCAAATTGCTCACTATTTCTTAATGTTTTTTTTTTAAGTCAGCTCTACACCTAATGTGGGGCTTGAGCTCATGACCCTGAGATCGAGTCAGATGCTCTACTCACCGAGCCACCCAGACACCCCTCTTAATGTGTGTTTCTTTACTGTACACGTCTAACACCAAAGTAAGATCCAAAGGAAGAGTGAAGAACTTATTTTCTTCTTCCTGTGTATCTCCTCCTATACATAGTAGTCTACTGGATAAGCATCAGCACTTAATATGACAATCAGTGAACTAAGAAACTAGGCAGTCAGGCAATGCCAAATTTAAAAAAAATGAGGGACACTCACGTATACAGATAATGTTGATACCATGGTCTTGATACCATGTCTGACACATAGATCTTCCTCATTCTTTTTAACGGGGTACTACCATTGTCAATATATTCAAGATAGATTGTTGAGTAAAAAAATTTTAAAGGCGGGGCGCCTGGGTGGCTCAGTTGGTTAAGCGACTGCCTTCGGCTCAGGTCATGGTCCTGGAGTCCCGGGATCGAGTCCCGGATCGGGCTCCCTGCTCGGCGGGGAGTCTGCTTCTCCCTCTGACCCTCCCCCCTCTCATGTGCTCTCTCTCATTCTTTCTCTCTCTCAAATAAATAAATAAAATCTTAAAAAAAAAAATTTTAAAGGCACATAATAGCATATATAGTATGGTCTTATTTAGAAAATTTTTGACTATGCATAGAAGAAAATTTGTGGGTGGGGGGATGGGATAACTCGGTGATGGGCATTAAGGATGGAGGACATGTGATGTGATGAGCACTGGGTGTTATACTGAATTGATGAATCATTGAACATTGTATAAAAAACCAATGATATAGGGCGCCTGGGTGGCTCAGTTGGTTAAGCGACTGCCTTCGGCTCAGGTCATGATCCTGGAGTCCTGGAATCGAGTCCCGCATCGGGCTCCCTGCTCAGCGGGGAGTCTGCTTCTCCCTCTCCCGCTCCCCCCTCTTGTGCTCTCTCACTCTCTCTCTCTCAAATAAATAAATAAAATCTTTAAAAAAAAAAAACCAAAAAAAACCAATGATGTATTATACCTTGCCTAATTGAATTTAAATTAAAAAAAAAAAGAAAAAAGCTTGTGATTATGTGTACCAAACCAATAATAGTAGTTATCTCTGGAGATCAGGAAGAAACACTTCATTTCTACTTTACTGACATTTTTATTGTATATTTTCTTTTTTACTATGAGCATGTATTACTTTAATAAATTTAAGTGTTCTTTTAAAATGTGCATACTTCTGTTTCTTTTACCTTTTCTCACGAAGGAAGGTCATCAGTACAAAAGCCACGCATACTAGTATCACTTGCAGCAGGAATACTTACTTTTTGATTGAAAAGGGTTGTCGTCGTCCATCAAGTTGCAGAGTCACCTAAGCACCAACACATGACATCAATCAATTTTATGAGTTACTTTAACACCAAATATTGAAACATGAAACTTGGGATTCAGAAATCTTTGGGTCTAATTTTGATCTCCGGCAAACTCACCATATGACTCCAGAGAAGATAGCAAGTTGTCTTAGTTTTCTGCCCTATAAGATAAAGATACCTACTATTAGGGTGGATTTGTTAAATGCATTCACATTTAATCATTTTCTCCTACAAAGAGCTTACCTTTTGAGTTTGATATGTTTGATATACATATGCTACTGACTTTACCTAATTGTAAATGCAAATTTAGTAAAAAAAATGCTGAAATGTATTAAGCATTTATTACTCGAAGAAATCTGATGGACTGTTAAATTACAAATAAGTTTTGAAAAGCACCTTTGTGTAAATATGAGTAATCACCTTGTACTACATGTTTTAGTCAATCTCAATTTTGAAATGCTAAGTGACGTTAATCTTTAACCGTTACTTATTCTCCATATTTCAGAAATAAATGTAATTACAAGAAAACACATACAAAAAAGTTTTAGTTTATATATTTTTATTTCTTATTAACACTAACTGCAAGGAATAGAAAATCAGTTGGATAAACTTCATTATAGATTAATTCATTAAAAAATAATGACTCATTGCCTTCTGTGCTCAAAGTGATGTTCTCAGTTCTAGGGAAAAAATAAGATGAATAAATCATAGTCCTTGCCTTCAGAAGATTATAGTCTAATATATCTACAGTTCTTTGGGCTTTTAAAAAAGCTGTTGTATTAAACATTATCAAAAATTGTTTTTGAATTGCTTTCTTTAAAGCAGGAATTCACATTTGTCTTTATTTTCAGACTGATAAAAGCAAGCTTTCCTGCTTTTTCCAATTCCAAATTATTTAGACTGAATTAGGCCAAAGGAAAAAATGTACTTTAACTCCAGAAGAAGTTACTGGTATGAATGTTTGAATTACTATCACAAGGATCTCAAGTGAATTCTGTACTTAAGTAAATGTCCTGAGGTTTGACTATTCAAATCTCTTTAACTCAATTATTTGAATAGTTACTATTTCTCCCTAAACTAGAATTAAGGTACTGCATATGTCAAGTAGAAAAATACATGTCAATTCTTGCTCAGTATTAAAGACCTACTGCCACTAGGAACACAAGTTTTTTTTAAGAGTCACAACTGCATAGCCTATGGAGATTCATGTATAACACTTCTATTAAATGCTCACATAAAATATCTATTAGCACAAATAGCCTGAAATTAGAACTGAACATACATGTAGTTTATATAAACAAGTCATATCCACTGCCTATGACTACAGAGATGAATTCTGAGGCCTGTAACAGCCACCAAGGAGCTTCAATTGGTACATTTATAAACACTCTAAAAAGTCAGAAATCCTCAGATGCCATTAGAACCATAAGTTCACCTAAAGCTGCACTATCCGATAAAGTAGTCAAGCCCTCCAAAACTATCACCACAAAAAAACTCTCAAGTCATAATTTCAGAGTTCTGGTGACAATGCAAGGAATTATATGGGAGAGTAAGTCATCTGTCAAAGAAATGGAATACCCAGCAAAACGTGCAATGAGGATCTTAAAGCTCCCGTAATAGCAGCTCCAGAGGGTCTCTAGGTTCTGCAACTCAGAGCTGGCACCAAAATAGGCAGAACAGAAAAGAACTCTCCACTTCAGCTATTGACTTAGGTAGAGATACTATGCCCATGTTAGTACACTGTTCCTATGAGGGAAAAATGAATTCCAAGTAACTAATGAAAGACCTCTTGGAATACAATCCAGTTTTTGGAGACGGCCTGTATAAATAATAACTACTACTTAGATATTTTATGGTTTCAGTTTCTATATATTTAAAATTCACCTATCTTTTAAGAGTTCAATTCTACAAAATTTTCAAAAAATGTTAATAGATTAAAATAGTTAAAATGGTAAATTGTATGTTATGTGCATTTCGTGCCTACTAGGATGGCTATAATAAAAAAGGCTGATAATAACAAGTGTTGGCAAGGATATGGAGAAATTGGAACCCTCATACACTGCTGGTGGGAATATGAAATGGTGCAGACACTGTGGAAAATACTTTGGCAGTCACTCACAAAGTTATACATAGTTACCATATGACACAGCAATTCCACTCCAAGTGAGAGAGAATTGAAAACATATGCCCATACAAAAACTTACATACGGGAATGTGCATAGCAGCATTATTTATAATAGCCAAAAAGTGGAAACAACCCACATGCCCAACTGATGAATGGATAAACAAAATGTGATATACCTATACAATGGAATAATATTCAGTCATAAGAGCAATAATACTGATACATACTATAACATGGATGAACCTTGGGAACATACTAAGTGAAAGAAGCCAGTCAAAAAGACCATGTATTATATGACTTCATTTACATGAAATGTCCAGAAATGGCAAATTCATAAAGACAGAAAGTACAGTAGTGGTTGCTTAGGGCTGGGAGGGCTAGGGGTAAAGTGGGGAGTGACTCTTAGTGGATATGGGGTTTCTTTTGGGAGTGATGAAAATGTTCTAAATTGACTGTGGTGATGGTTACATGCCACCGTGAATATACTAAAACCATTAAATTGTATACTTCAAATGGCTGAATTGAATGTTATGTGAAATTTTTAAAGATTAGTTATTTTAGAGAGAATAAGAGCATGGGGTGGGGAGGGGCAGAGAGAGAGGGAGAGAGAGAGAATCTTGATCAGACTCCCTACTGAGCATGGAGCCCAATGCTAGGCTCAATCCGATCCCAGGACCCTGAGATCATAACCTGAGCCAAAATCAAGTCGGACACCTAACCAACTGAGCCACACAGGGGCCCCTATTATGTGAAATTTATCTTAATAAAGCTGTTAAGAAAAATAATAAGCTGGTAGGATATCAGCCTGGGAGTAATGGAGTCACTATGTGGAGAAAGAATGTCTAAGAAAGAAACCAACAAAGAAAATGGAAAAGCCTTAAGATTCTGGGGTAGAGAAAGAGTAGGGTAGGGAGATATTCAAGTTCTGATAATACCATTAAATACCTGAAGCTAGCCATGCTTGAAGTTAATTAACTATTAAGACTTTTCAGTTAAGAGGAGGAATAATTGTTCATTTCTGGTTTAATCCACCTTGAGCGAGGTTTCTGGTACTTGCATCCAAGAGTAATAATACACTTACCAGTGGCTTATT